GTTGGAGACCCCCGCTGTAGAGTACCAAGCTGAAAGCCCAGGAATATGTCCATTGCTTGGGTCTTGAGTTTCTCCGTAAGCCATCTTGGAGGAGCTGAGTAGTCAGTCTCAGATAGTATAAATTAGAATAAGGGTTAATAGGAAGGATACCTTGATTTCATTCTAGCATTATTGAAAGGTGCGCACATCATTTTTTAATTGCCCGGTTAAAGTAGAATTGTCAGAGACTTTTAAGGTATGCCTGGGTTTATGCATACCATACATGAAGAAGATGCTGGCTCTAAGTAGCTGAAGAAACCTTTCCAATAAGCAGGTCAATATTAGCTCTAAGTAGCTGCATACCTTCATCTCCAAATTATTTTTTCCTTAAAGGTTGCTGTTCATTTTCATTTTGACAATGACACTGCAGAAAGGAAATAGTTTCCATAAACAAATACTGCTCTGTTTTGCTATTAGATACTGTTTCACTATTGAATGTAACAGAGATCACAGATCAAGGTTACAGAGATCTGTGGAAAAAATGAAGACACTCTATGAAGCATGCCAGCAAATTCCATTCCTGAACACTCTATTCCTTCCCAAACTGGTTAAGGAATACTGTTTTTCTTACCATTATTTTCAAGGCAATTAGTTGAAAAGTTCATTCTTTGTATCTTATTCCATGGTCTTGCCGATCCAAAGTGAACTGATGGGACCTTCTTTGACTCATATTCTGAAACGAAGTTTAGCAGTTATTATATCATGTTTTCCAGCTTTTCTGTCTTGAAATGACTCAAAATGGCTTAGGTAAAATGCATTAATAAGCTAATATAGCAGTGATCTCAATTAAAATGAACATAGCAACTTGGAGATCCAAAAGTCTGCTCAGTGTTAAAGAGAAATCAAGGAAGGAGAGAGAGCATGGGAACTTTTACACTTGAAGATGGTCACAGAAAATACCTTCTGCAATGATCAGTTGTGCCTCTGATGTTGGAGAGACAGTTTGTTACTATGTAATTCATCTACAGTTTCAATAGATTTCCTGAAAATAAAATAAAATAGTGAAATCCACAGTACTTTTTGTTTAATAGCATTTGTGTTAACTGTATACTGTAGAACTGAAATTGGGGGGTGTGGGTGTCAAACCATGCAGTAAAATGTTCACATCTACTGTATTTTTTGGACTATAAGATGCACCTTGGTTTAGAGGAGGAAAATAAGAAAAAAAAATTGCCTCTGCGCGTCCTGTTTTTGCCCTCTCCAGGTTCCAGAGGCCCTCTGCAGGCCAAAAACGTGCCCGTTTTTGGCCTGGACACCGGGGAGGACAAAAACGGGATGCACGGAGGTCTCCAGAGGCAAAAAATGGGCACATTTTTGGCCTGCAGGGAGGGCAAAAATGGGAAGCACAGAGGCTTTGGGAGATCAAAAATGGGCCTGTATTCACTGTATAAGAAACACAGGCATTTCCACCCACTTTGGGGGGGGGTGTCTTATACTCTGAAAAATATGGTAATTTTAAAGTGCGCACACTTTCACCAATAATTTGATGAACTAAATTTGCATTGCATATTCTTTAAGAGTAGCACAACTACTATTCTGCAAATGAAACAAACTTAAGTATTGCATAGACATTGTTCAGATGAGGGTTGCTTGTAATGGCATGCATTTATTCCATTTTCTAAATTAATATTTTTATTTTGCCTTTGGATCAGAAGCTCCCTTCCACTAATATACTAATTTCCTTTAAAACAAAACAAAAATCACTTATTTTCTTTTTAAAAGACCTCTAGCTTACTGGCTCCCTCTAATGACTAAATAATGGAACTATTTATTTTGTTTACTACTTCTATGCATTTCAAAAACAAATCCACCTTATTTTTTCCTTGGTTTTAAAGTATTGAGATCTTATTGAGAATGAGATCAGTTCTGCTTCTAGTATAGTAAATATTTGGTTTATCAGGCTATTGGACTCTTTTGAAAACTTATTTCTAACGTGGTGCCTTCTTGTATGTAATCATTAAATCTACATATTTGCAAACCATGCATGCTTTTAAAAATAATGTTTCCTTTTCCTTCAGACGCTATCAACACTCTCAAGTAAATGTTACCATTCACCGTTTTCATCCTTAATTTCAGAGTCAGTGGACTTTCCCCTTTCATGGGTGATAATGACAATGAAACCTTAGCTAATGTTACCTCAGCCACCTGGGATTTTGATGATGAAGCTTTTGATGAGATATCAGATGATGCTAAAGACTTCATAAACAACCTTTTAAAGAAAGATATGAAGTAAGGATACATTACGTTCATATAATGTTCACATACTACTCTAAATATGCATAAGAGGTATCCTTATTGTGGAACTTCTGCACTAATTTAATGTACATGATAAATTTAGACTCATGCCTATGTTCACTTTGCGTTTCTGGAACTGATCTAATAATCCTAATCTATGGCCTATAAACCTGATTAAATAAATACAATTAATAAATCCAACTCCCTTCTATAAATTTGTAATGACTCTTAAGGTATGAATATTTTTAACATTTCCTATTCTAGTCCATTGCTTTCCATATGTATTAGCATTCAGCTTGGCTCTAATGCCTTGTGTGGGAATTGCAAAGGAGCAGGTCAAGGAAAGAATTAAGTTCTAGTAATTTTAGATTACTCCTTTAAATAGTTGCTAACACCATAATCCTTTCATCCGAACCTTGACACTCACATACAGTTTGTAAATCAAGGCAAGTGGATCTACAACAAAATTCTTAGGTATTTCAGGTTTGCTCAAATTATTAATGTGTTGGCATTTTTCCACACAAGCAGTCCAGCCATGAGTAGTACCTCTTTAGGACAACTTTTTTTTTTACTGAGAGAAATCATAGAAATATGCAGATAGATGCATCCCCCCAAAAAATGCTTAACTCAATGTGTAGTGTAATTATGTTATTCTTAATATAACTACATATGAAATATAGTTTAATATGTTTAATTTAGATGCCTGTCCTAAGGGAGTTGAGCTCGAAGACCTCCGATCCTCTGATCCTATGAAATGTAATATTCTATGTGCATTTTGCACTGATGGTTTTAATTTTTTTTTAAAAAAACTTCAAATCTCTAGGGATAATTGTGTGCATGTTTGAAACTCACACCTTTCCCCCATGTTGTTGATTTGTGGAAATTACAAAATAGCTTCAAAATGCTACTTTAATTTTGGCAGCATAATCCAGAGAATCTGTGTGGCCTACAAAAAGAAGTCTGGAACCTGCATACAGATGCTAAATGTTGCATTTCCCACCCATGATTTAGGAATAAAAAATAAGATGTAATCAATAACGTAAGATTTTTTGCAGCATTAATAATAGATATTTTTCTCATTATGTGATTTCGTTGCTTCTGCACAGCAGTTATGAGAAAACTTAGTGACAAATAATGTGTTAATAAGTAACAAATGTAGACTGTTTCCAAGAAAAAGATGGTATAGTTGCCATTTTTTATTGCTCCAAAGATATCAGAAAGTAATGAAATACATCTGAATAAGAAATATGAAACACAATAATGAAATATTCAAATACTTTACAGCAGAGGTTTTTAAGAATTAAATTTAGATTTTTTTTGTCATAATATTCCAAAGACATAAATCTTTTATCACTCTATGAATTAAAATTAATTTATATATTGACATATAATTATCACTGGAACTCATCCCATGGCTTATTTAAGGTAGCTCTCTGCTCTGCAGTCAGTCAGCTGCCCTGTGCCATCTGGAAGTGTAAGGTAAAAGTCAGCATTTATAAGGAATTTTGGAGGCTCTTATGGTTCTGGGTAGACATATCCCAATGTAAAAAGATTTACATCCTCAAGAAAGCAAGCAGCTTTCCAGTCTTCCTAATAGAATGCTAGAAATAAAACATCTGAGACTTTGGGAATTGCAACTGAATAATGTACAGTAGTCTAAGGTGCCATATTATTAAATACAGAGCTCATTAAAATCTTGTTTTATTTATGTAAGTATAATAGTTATTATCTCTATTACTCATAGGGACCGCTTGAATTGTACTCAGTGCTTACAGCATCCGTGGCTGCAAAAAGATACCAAACACATGGAAGCGAAAAAGCTCTCCAAAGACAGGATGAAAAAATACATGGCTAGAAGAAAATGGCAGGTAACTGATGTCTATGGAGATTCTCATCATCCAGGTCATTTTTCCAAAAGCCAACTGGTCTTTCTTTGTTTTTCCTTGAAGATGTTTTGCTTCTCATCCAAGAAACTTCTTCAGTTCAGAATTGAAGCAAAATGTCTTCAAGAAAAAACAAAAAAAGTCCAGTTGCCTTTTCAAAAAGCACCTTTGGGGCAGGTAAGCATAGTGATCAAAGTTCAAAGCCTTTATTGTCATTGTACATCATGCATACAATGAAATTGGTTAAGTTGGTCAAGAACATATGAAACAAATTCTTTGTACGTTCTAAAGTGCATGAATTTGTAAGATATATGAAAATAAAAGGCCATTTGTTTAAGAAAACAATGCATCTTTTGCAGGAAAACTATTACAGGTAATCCTCAACTTACGACAGTTTGTTTACTGACTGAAGTTAGAACAGCACTGAAAAAATGACTTATGACCATTTTTCACTCTTATGTTCGTTGCAGCATCCCCATGATCATGTGATTTACATTCAGATGCATGGCAACTGACTCACATTTATGATGGTTGCAGTGTCCCGGGGTCATGTGATCACCTTTTGCAATCTTCTGACAAGCAAAGTCAATGGGGGAACCACATTCACTTAACAACTATATTACTAGGTTAACAACTGCAGTGATTCACTTAACAAATGTGCCAAGAAAAGTCATAACATGGGGCAAAACTCACTTAAATTCCTCGCTTAGCAACATAAATTTTGGGCTCAATTATGGTTGTAAATTGAGGACTATCTGTACAGGATAAAGGAGGGACATCTTAAATTGCCTTATTCCAATCCCTGTCCTTAAAGTAAATACATGTAACTTATATTCTCTTCTATTAGTACATTTAATTTAATAATAACAGATTAATGATCATGTTGGCTTTGATCAAACTTGTATCTTCGCAATGCTTATAAGAAAATTCTGCTGAGATAATTGTGGATGTATTCAGGGGGATTTTTATTTGTTATTTTAAACAAATTAATAACTTTTTTAAAGTATTTTATTATGGTGTAGCAAATGTGAGGCATAGTGATTACACCATTTTGAAACATGGCTGGTAACTTTTTCTTACATTTGGGCGGGTACTCAATATTGATTTGCCCTTTTTGATTTTCATTCCTTCCTCTGTTCTTGTGAGAAGGGAAATTCCTAAAACTCCAGCTGCTTCACAGGTTTCCTTGTCAGGCTATAATGCAAGTTGCCCAAAAGTTCTATGGTTGAAATCTTTACCAGACACCTACTACCCTCCATTCGCTGGGTCAAGTGTTATTGGACCCCCATCTCTAGAGTCTGCTTTCAATGCACTAAATAGAACTGTTGTATTTTTCTCAATCTTTTACAAATATATCAAAAATAGCATATGGTAAGAAGGAATTCATCAGCATTTCTTGGTTATGTTACAGAAAACAGGAAATGCTGTTCGTGCCATAGGAAGGCTGTCTTCTATGGCAATGATTTCTGGCCTGAGTGGACGGAAGTCCTCTTCAAGTTCACCAACCAGCCCTGTTAATATGGAGATTGAAGCTGGAGGTATGGAAATTCTGATATGAAGTGGAGGTATAGTGGTACACCATAGCCTTTCCAACTTTGAGCACAATGACAGAAGATTATGAAAACTGAAGTCCAAAGCATCTGAAGTCCATAAGGTTGGAGAAGACTGATTCTGTTAGTTCCAAAACTCATCATAGAAAAATATTGTGATGTCTTTCCTTCTATCATTATTGGTATTTTCTTAATTTGGACATATGGTTAATCACTATTTTGCAGAAATCTATAGTCTTTTGTGTCTCAGGCTAATAGCCAGTCTGCATTTAGCCTAAGCACATTTGAGTCCATTTCTGCATATTGATTATTTGTTCACCAGTAAAATATTGGGCAGAGTTTGCCATGTAAATCATCCAAACAGTAGAATTACCATTCCATATTTTGGAAGCATCTTTTACTACCATTTCAACTTTCAATTGAAATAAGAAAACTGATGCAACTAGCTTCACAGATAGTTAAGACAGATGTCAAACAGATGGGACACAAAAATATGTCTGAATATTGTAGGGTATCTTATAATTTTGAAAAATGTATTTGAGAAACCTTTCCATGACATTCAGATTGCCACATTATTTAAGTATAGACTATGGCATAACACTTAAACAGATGCTTGAAAATTGTATTATATAAAGAATATTCATCCACAGTCTTTTTTTTTTAACAAACTAGAATATAGTGGCATATTATATGTTACAAGGAATAGTTATAGGCCTTGTACTTCCCCCCCCAAAAAAATCAAAATTTTAATGACTTGGGTGAGGAAGTGGAAAAATATCTTTTAAAAATACAGGTGGCACAGAATTGGGTGAAATGGCCAATATGTTAGATTGAAAAGGAAATTTGACAGAGAGACATATAAAAACAATAGAAAAATGCAAATCTAGAATGGGGGAACCTCAGTTTGGCAGTAATACCTGTGAAAAAGATACCGAGTTGATTATATACTGAATATAAACTATCTCTATAGTATGGTTTTAAAAAGTTGTTTAAGGTTGTGTCAACAGACATTTAATTTGCAAATCACAGGAAATAATAAATTAACATTATTTTATGACTCTTAGTCAGATCCTATCTTGAGTATTTTGTTCATTTCTGAGCAATTATACCACTCATTGGAGCAAATTTAAAGAAAGGCAGCCAGGATGAACTGGGGACTAGAAGTTAAGTTCTATGGAGGAAAAATGGAAAGAACTGGGAAGCCTTGAGAAGATACTGTGAAAGCACTTTAAAAATATTGTAAGAAGTGTCATATAGAAGGCTACAATTTGTCCTTCATTGCTTTAAAGTGCAAGATATGATAATGAATTTAAGTTTCAGGAAATGAGATTCTGATTTTTGTTTGCTGTTACTCATAATAGTATAGGGGTATCTAATTCAAGGCCCACGGCCTGGATTGGGCCTGCGGGTTGCTTAAATCCAGCCTGTGGGGCCAGCCTGGAAATATCAAAGGACCAGCCCAGGATGCCTCTGGTGCATGCGGGGACCCTGTGCCTTGTTTTTACCCTTCATGACCTCCTGCAGCACTCTGCCTAACAAAACTGGACCCAAAATAGGCCCCCAAACAGGCCAAAAATGGGCTCGAAACAGGCCAAAAACTGGGCTGAAAATGGGCAAAAAATGGGCAAAAACAGGCCCCAAAATGAGTATAAAACAGGCTGAAAACAGGCCCGAAACTGGCAGTGCTGCAGGAAGCCATGGAGGGTGAAAACAAGGTGCAGGGGGGCTGCATTTGGACCCTCGTGCTGCGTTTTGGCTGGCAGGGTGCTACATCCCTCCTGCCCCCCCCCGCTCACCCCTCCCACTGCCAGCCCACAGAAGAGAACTGCAATGCTGATTTGGCCCTCAAAGAAATCCAGTTTGATACCCCTAGTATAGAGTAATTTGAAATGGAACCCAGATAATTGTAACATCCTCTTTCTCTGAGTGTTTTCAAACAAAACTGAATAATCATCTGTCTGGGATACTTTAAATTCTGCTTAAGCAAGGGTCTAGTTTGAGCAGGAAGCTAGTTTCAATAAACACTTGGTTCCTTCCAAGTCTATGATATATGTGCATTGTCCTTTTACCACAATTGATGTCTGAACTGTAGGGATGTATATCCATGATGCTTTATCACATGAATTTTCCCAAAAGGAATAAAATATTCCTATTTGAATTCTAAATTAGCAGTCATTAAAGATTGCCATGGAAAAAATATAAAGTAGACTTCTGAAAACTGCTATGTTGTGGCTGAAAGACAAGCTTTGACATTTATTAGGCTGTAAGAATTATTATCAGACAGTTGTTCTGTGATAAAGCAGAACTGTGTTGTTGTTGTTTTTCCTAGATGAAACAGCCAGCTCTCTTTTAGAAGCAGTTGATGAAGAAAGGTCTCATGTGAAGCCCTATTTCTCTAAAACAATTCAAGATATAGAAGTTGTGGAAGGCAGTGCTGCTAGATTTGACTGTAAAATTGAAGGTATTCTTCACTAATTCAGAAGACTTTATCTTCAGCTATCCACCTGTCATTTTCCTTTTGGGGTTGGTGTATTGGTATTTGTTATCTTCTTGCAATTTGATGTATCTTATTTGCTAATTCTTATTCTCATTTTCTGGGTGTGCTACACCAGTGATCCCCAACCTTTTTGACGCCGCGGCCCGGTACCGGCATCAGCTGGGCGCCATCTTTTTTTGATGAAAAAGTGCTTCCGGTGACCTCACCGGAAGCACGTTTTCATCAAAAAAAGATGGCGGCGCCCAGCAAGCCGCGGCCCGGTAGTTGTTCCGCGGCCCGGTACCGGTCCGCGGACCGGTGGTTGGGGACCCCTGTGCTACACGATAGAATTTTTAACACAGCTTTATTCAGGTTATCAATGACCACATCTGGCTTTTAGTTATTGATTTATTTTAACGTACCTGCCATGTAAAGAAAACGTTGTGTGTTTATCTGCCTATTTCAAATTAATTGGGAACTTACAGGAATTGCAGACTTACAAATATATACATTGATTGACATTAGTGTCTCTATTTAATTATAATTGTACAACTAAGACATATCATGAAACAGTTGCTGTTGGATTCTATCTGAAATCTTGAGTACATGTGTTACAGGTAAGTGGGTGTAAATTTTTACAACCATATATAATCACTCTAAAGCCAACCATACATCTACCCACTTTACATTTCACATGGTAATTATCTTGTATTTACTGAGCTTATGCCATATCTGCTAATGACTTATGCAGCATTTGAAGTGAGCTGTTAAAGAGTGACATCTGGATTATGAAGATTCCGCAGGATTCTCTTACATAACCTGCAATTTCGTAGAATTGGATTTACTCTAAAAACTCCATTTGTGCTGCACTTTTTGTACACTATTAACTGTTAAAGGTAACTTAGTTGACAGATGCACATCTACATCCCCTGGCCATCATAGCCTGTTTTTTTTTAATGGCAAATTCAAATGATTGTCTATTTCTTTTTTATATTCACTTATTGCTTAAAAAAATTAACAAATAAAATACCTTCATTTTGGCATCTGGTATTTCTCAGGTTACCCTGACCCGGAAGTGATTTGGTACAAAGATGAGCAATCTATCAAGGAATCCCGGCACTTCCAGATTGACTATGACGAAGATGGCAATTGCTCTTTGATTATTTCTGAAGTTTGTGGGGATGATGATGCCAAATATACTTGCAAGGCAATTAACTGTTTGGGAGAATCAACTTGTACAGCAGAACTTATTGTGGAAACGTTGGGGGAAGAAGAAGAGGAAGAAGAAGAATGAATCAACAGAAGAGGACAAAAATCACTCAGTTGAAGACTCTTTAATGCTCATGTAGTATTACACTAGGTTATAGTTTTCTTGATTTATTTTATCAGCAGTGTGGCTGACACCTGTTTTATTTATGGGCATTAACTTGAATTAACAAGCACTTTAGTTGGCTGTTGTGCTTGGATTTAGTTTAAGTTAAAGCATCAGTTGCATAGCCCAGACAATGAATGTGAACACACCATATGAAGCTAATCTGCTAGAATCAACCATTTCTTTCATAAACGTATGATCAGGTTTGAGGAACTGGATAAGTATACTAATTGTTTCATCAAGCAATATAGCTAGCAAAAATGCATCTTTGGTGTCCTGTGACACCATTGAATTATGTATGAATGAAGTACATTTGGAGCAATAAAATTTTACCTGCAAGGGGCCCACTGGAAATACAAGAGTACCACAGAAAGTTTCCTGATACAAAAGAGACACCCGGTGGTTAAAAAATATGTACCTTCCTCAAATTGATTTAACACATTCAGATTTTTCCATATTGCTTTCCTTTCACAGCTGTCATTCAGAATACCTAACAGTATCTGTCTACACTTAGTGTATCATTACAACTCTGTGGCTTTTCTCCACTACTTCTGCAAGATGCAAATATTTTCAGCATAACATTGGCTTCATTAAAGAACACAGAAAACAAATTTTGCATTAGCTTCTCAAGGCAGAAGAGGAAAATTGACTATACTTCAATGTAGATACATAAAGTATCTTTAGAACGTTTGATCTTATTACTGTAGTCTTACATGTTCTGTATTTGCTTGTCTGCCTGTTGGAATGCAGATATTCAAAATTCCATTTATGATATGTACTCACATTTGCTGTGGGTTTTTTTTATTACTGCTTTCGCTGTTTCTTAGTTATCAGCATGTCCTCTTTTTAAGTGGATGAGAAACTTTTGTTATAATAAAACACAGTCATTGCCAGTTTGCCACACATTGTTATAAGGCAATTTTAATATTATTTAGTGCATACAAGGCATTTTTTCACATGTTTTCAATGTGTTAAGAAAACAACGGGGTGTATTTTTGTATATCTTAATTAAAAAAATATGCTAATGTTTTCTGGTGTCTTAAACAGAGAGGGAATATTCGTGAACACTACAGCTGTAGTTACTCACAATTTTTAAATAAATACATATCACAAAACATGTTGCTACTAGTTCATTTGTTCAATTTAAGTTCTACTTTCCTTTCTTGAAGAACTTTCCTTTCCTTTCTTGAGTGTTTGAGAACTTTACTGCTCCCTGATAAATTTATAAATTATACTGCTTGCATATACCCACAGTTATATAACTTTCTACCTAGAGATTTGAGTTGTAAAAGTACATAACTATGATGAATTTAGCTGAGAACTAAATTATTCATCTTGGCCCATGAATCTTTTTAACTCATACAAGGAAGGGGGTGTGTTTGTTTGCAAAATGATTCTATTAACAGTTCTCTTTTAAAAATCTATAAGCCTTGAAATATTTGCTTGAAGGCAAACAAGCACACCTACTTTATTTAACATTTTGGAGAAAAGAACATATTCTTTTAACATGCTTAATTTTTTTTTAAAAAAAGCAAATCTTAATAGTACAGGAAAGAAAAATAACGTATGAACCTCCTGCCCTGAGACCCATTTTAGTCACTTTTTCTTACAACTGGTGAATTATTTGCAGGTTCCCCAAAAGGAGGGAAGGTGAAATGGGAAGAAATGGTAGAGGCAAGGAAAAGGGAGGCAACCTTTAGGAGATGATGAGACTGAGCCTGGGGTGTTGGGTTAAATTAATCATTGGTTTGGGGTCTACATCCCATAAGAGACTTGAGCCAGGGTGGATATGAATCTAGCCAAAGTCCAGGCTGTTATGGAGTGGCAGGCATCGAGGTCACGCAGACAAACTGCAGGGTTTCCTAGGTTTTGCCAATTTTTACCGGCAGTTTATCCCCTTATTTGCCAGGGTAGCCTTACTGTTAAGCAATCTCCTAAAGGCTAATGGTCAGCTGGTAGTAGGCCTCCCGCAGGTCCAGCTTAGTAAAAACTACCCATTGAGAGGAAGTCAGCACTGGGAGCCACTGTCCCCCAGCATCTTTTGTAGGCAGGGTCCATGACCTCCCCGCCTGGATATGCCCCCAGCCATTCAGCCACCATCTGGTAGCCAACTGGCCCTCTTCAGCTAGCAGTCTTTTTACAGCAAAGAGTCTTCCAGGGCTCCGATCTTCCCCAGGAACCAATCGTCCAGCACCTTCCAGGGCTCAGCTGCCGCTTTTTGAGCCACTGGCCAGCTGATTGTTAGCATCCCAGTGCCTTGCTGATCAGCTGGTCCGGGTGACTGGAAACATCATGCTCCGCTTTCGCCTGGTAGGCACTGGAGACTTCACCAGTGAGCAGCTCTCGGGGGCCCGGCACGCCGCCAATCACCTGTTCTAGGATGCTGGGACTGCCGCTGCTGGTTGCTGCTGGTTGTCTTGCTGTGGCTGTTCCCCAATCACCCTTCCCCCAGGTATGGCAAACCCCAGCAGGTTTTGACACAGTCCCCCTTGAAGTTTGACTTATCTGGCACCAATTCATCTTGACTTAGATCAGATTGTTGTGTATAGGTAGCATGAAATAAACTTGTAGTACTTTTAAACTCCGTTCTGGTTTCTCATCTCTTGCACCTGACACAACCCCCTGGAGGAAATATTATAGGCTGAAAATGGTGGCCTGCTCTCCTGTCTTCTGCCTTGGTCTTTTGTGGTTTCTTCCTTTGCCCACTGCCTTCTAACTCACTTCAGCACCTCTTTTTTTTCGCCTCCACCTCCTAGGCATTTCATCCTTTTTTCCCTTCTTTTCCCTTCCATGTAGCCTACATTACTACATACTGGAGTATGACAGGAACCATCTACTAGCTTTCGTGATGTGTGAAGGTGTGCTACTTTTTCTTTCATGGCTGCTATTTCCTGGTATCCAGCATTGTGAAGGAACGAACAAGTGCCAAGGAGGAGGAAAAAGAAACATTTTTAAGAATTAAGTTTGCAGTTTTGTCTCCCCATGCTGTAATAAAGAGCTGTGGTGGTTAGAATGCAGTATTGCAGGCTAATTCAGCTCACTGCCAGGAGTTCGATCCTGGCCAGCTCAAGGTTGACTCAGTCTTCCATCCTTCTGAGATTGGTAAAATGAGGATCCAGACTGTTGGAAGCAATTACGCTGACATTGTGAACCACTTAGAGAGGGCTGTAAAGCACTATGAAGTCCTACTGTTATTGCTAGACTGCTTTTAAAAAGTCATTTTCCACTGGGTAAATCAATGTATTTTTTGAAGTTATAAAAAAAAAATCAACATAAATGGATGAGAATGCTTAATCTCTTCCCCAAAATTCCCTTCGTCATCCATTGGTTTAACAGTTGTGAGCATGTTGCAAAATAGCTAATATTTGCAGTGTTCAATCTGAATGAGGTAGGGTCGAAAAGGCAGGAAGAACAATTCCACATGAATTAGATTTCTGATAGTTCTTCCTTAAGAAGTATGGTATGAAGTTTTTCTCCATTCCCAACTGTTCTGCCTTCAAAAAGCACAGAACTACTTGTGTAGTTCCTATACACAATATCCCTCCAGGTTGTGCTAAGTGGGGGAAGAGAGAAAGTTCTTTTCAGGAGACAGACTATTATAAACCAATACGATAATTCACCCTGTGTGAATTATTAGCTCACAGAGCAGTCAATGCTATGCATATTCTGAATTAAAGGCAAGCTGAATAAACTATGGTTAAATTAGCCATCTATGGGCCTTCTGCAAAACCGATTTTTTATTGCAATTTAGATTGCAGTTTGAACTTCCATACACTTATACATGCACAGAGACTTAAATTGATTTCTACTGCTCAAGACTGGAATTCCAAGATTTAAACTATAATTGCAAATCCCTCTTTTTGAACATATATGAAATACAAATCGAAAGTCCATTCAGCATTTAGAAACCAGGAGATGATGAGTTCTAGTCCCACCTTGGGCATGATAGTTGGCTGGATGACTTTGAGTCAGTCATTCTGCCTCGGGTCAACTCATTTTCCACTTTATAAAAACAATAAAGGGAATATAAACGAATAATGGCAAAATTTCACCAAAACAACTAGTTCAGAGAGTATTTTTATGTACGATCTAAAGTTTTGGAAAAGTTTGCAAGCTTCTGTTTAGTTTCAGCAATTCTTAATGCATAATGTCTGGAAAGATGTGCTCTTTGGAAGACAGAATGCTCAAGTGCTTGATATTTCTATTCATGCACTAGAGTGAACCAAGAATTGTGAGGCATATGTATTTCGTGTTCACATTTCCCAACAGAAATGTGATTTGCTATTAGCTATTAGGACAATAAGCTGACATTCCAGAGGCCTAACTTTTCCACTAGTACTCCTTCTAAATCAACATTTTGAAAAAGCATTAAAGTTTCTCTCACACACACTCACATAATAGGTACAATTGTAGTGTTGGATTCTTTGTAAATCACAGAATCCTGACTATCTTCTTCAGCATATAATTCTGGGAGGAACTAAGAAACTTGGTATGCAATCCCATAATTCCAATGCAAAACTAAGTACTTTGCTTCTCAATAAACTTGTATAGAATTCTGATAAAACCAAGAGCTTTCCTAAACACGTGCAACCACAACTGCACTCACACACAAAATTATCCACAGGCCCCGCCCCTATTATTCACAGCCTTGTTAAACAGGGCTTCCTTCTGGAAAAAAGAAGTACAGCTTCAAAGCTAAAATTCTAAGAGAAACCAGTTATTGTAAGAGTTGAAAAATGTTCCCTTGATTACCTTTAAAAGGAAGCTAGTAAATAAAATATGTGACTTTTCCCAAACAGAGAAGGGAAGATTCCAAGACTTCCCTGTGGAAATCTTTCGAGGATTTCCTTTCTCTAATGTCACACAGTTACTTATCTATTAATCCCATTTATATGCCTGCCCATCTCATAAGAAACTGAGTGGCATTCAACTGTCAATAAAACAATATAAAAATCATTATAGAAATATAAAAATTTAAAGCATTTATAAAGTATATAAACCACACTGGGACAGTAAAACGATTGATCCCCAGTGAAGCTACCTAAGCCTATCTCTGGTTCCCTGGGACCCCCAGACCTGATAATACAATCGGATCTCAAGGGACTTTTGAAATAATAACAGGGATGGAGCTAACCTCACTTCGGAGGTGAGAATAGGGAGGACTCCATAGCAGAGAAGACCCGCCTCCTGTGACCCACCAAATGTAGATTTCTGGCAGATGATAACCGCAACATGCCTTCTCTGCCCATTCTGATAGGACAGGCTGATGTAGTCATGGAGAGGCGGTCCTTTAGATAACCTGCTCCCATACCATGAAAGGCTTTAAAGCAGAACTCCCCAAACTTGGTGACTTTATCTAGCTGTGCTGGCTGAGGAATTCTGGGAGTTGAAGTCCACAAGTCTTAAAGTTGCCAAGTTTGGAGACCTCTGCTTTAAAGGTTAAAATCAGCACCTCAAATTAGACCCAGAAGCAGACTGACAGCCAATGCAGCTTGTGGAGCAGAGGGGTAGTATCTTCTTTCCTGGGAGCACACATAAGTGCCTGGGCCACTGCGTTCTGCATTGTCGGAAGCTTTGGGATACTCTTCAAGGGCAGCTCCAAGTACAGTGCATTATAGTAGTCCAACCTGGAGGTGACCGGGGCATGAGCGATTGTGAGCACAACTGACTCAGGAAAGAGCACAACTGGTGCACAATTACAAGGCAGTGCAAAGGCCACAACCGCCATTTGGTTTTTTGAGTAGGAATTGTGGGACTAGGACCCCTCCAAATTGTGCACTGGGTCTGTCTGGATGACAGCCCTCCCAGATAAACCAGACAGGAAACAGGACTGAATGAATTAATTCTACTTTATTGTGTAAAGTTATGTGAACAGAATCTTGCAATTCTGAAAGTACAAACTACCTGCCTCCACTTTTAACTGCTCAATCTACTAGAGAAGATCCTTTCTAAATTTCTTTCTCTGACTGCTAAACCACTGAGGGGTTCTTCCCTCTCTTATCTGATTGTTTCCTCAGGAGCATCTCTTCAATCCCCAAGGTCATCCATAATGAACACCAGGTATGGCATAGTCCTAGAACCAGTAGGCCCATTCATTTTTGCCAGAGTTCAGCTGAAGCCTTTGTCCGCCATCACAGCTTCCAGATATCGGAAGAAGTTATTCATGGCCTCATTTAATTCACCATGATACCTCATCCCATGGCAGAGGATAAGCTCACCAAACAGTCTCATGTAAGTAAATGTCCAATAAGAAAAGGAAGATCTCTCAACCATGTGGCAACCCATGTAGGCCAAGGGTGTGCCTCTCCTTCCTAGTTGCCACTTTCCATAACTGACCACAAATAAGGGAGGCAGGTAACCAGGCTGCCTGCTGCCAATCCTCTGAGCCACTCCAGGATACCACATTTGATGGCACCACATTTGATGCTGAGAGGTCAATAGGCAACCTCCATCCTGCCCATGCCAGAGACCATCCATAATCAATGCTGTTTCTATCCCATACCTGGGTCTGAGTTCTGACTGAAAAAGATCCAGATAATTCACTTTATTCAGGGCCCCCTGAAGCTTGATCCCCCAAACCAGATCCCCAAAGATCAGGAATAACAGGGAACTTCCTGTTGTCCTCACCAACCGTCCCTGGGAGAAGCCAGGCGACTCGTGGCATTATAGTTTCACTACCTCTCAGCCTCTCTGGCTCTCACCCAAGAGAAACCAGTCCATTCCTAACAGCCAGCCTTGCAGTAAATTGGTGGAGTCACGTTGTTTCTTCCTTTTCAGGGAGACCTGGAAGACAGGCAAAGTCTATTACAAATATTTTTAATATTTTAATATTTACGATTGCCACTCAGAGCTGCTTTGCAAAAGGGGTAGGCATATACATTTAATAAATAAACAAAGACATCAATAAATAAAACATTATTTCTTTTTTTAAATGTCTGATCTGGTGAGCTTTCCTTCCAGAAGTTGTGGGTGCTCCAACACTGGAATTTTTAAAGAAGAGACCAAACAATTATATTAATTACATATTTATATATATAATTATATTAATTATATTGATATTAACACACTTGAGAAAGTCCAGAAATATTTCACAAGAAGAGTTCTCCACTCCTCTACTAGTTGCAGAATACCTTATGCCACCAGACTCGAAATTCTAGACCTAGAAAAACTAGAACTACACTGCCTTCAGTCCGATCTAAATATAGTACATAAAATTATATATTGCAGTGTCCTACCTGTCAATGAATACTTCAGCTTCAACCATAACAATACAAGAGCACACAATAGATACAAACTCAAGGTTAATCGCACCAAACTTGATTGCAGGAAATACGACTTCAGCAACAGAGTGGTCAATGTCTGGAATATTCTACCTCAGGGGTCCCCAACCGCCGGTCCGCGGACCGGTACCGGGCCGCGGAACAACCCTTACCGGGCCGCTGGTTGCTGGGCGCCGCCATCTTTTTTTTGGTAAAAAGCGCTTCTGGTGAGCTTTTCCGGGTAGAAAGCTCACCGGAAGCGCCTTTTCGTCATAAAAAGATGGCGGCGCCCAGTTGACGCCGGTACCGGGCCACGGCGCCCAGCTGATGTCGGAACCGGGCCGCGGCGTCGAAAAGGTTGGGGATCCCTGTTCTACCTGACTCTGTGGTTTCTTCTCCAAACCCCCAAAACTTTAACCTTACACTGTCTAATATTGACCTCACCCCTTTCCTAAGAGGTCTGTAGGGGACGTGCATAAGCGCACCAATGTGCCTACCGTCCCTGCCCTATTGTTTCTTTTTATTTTTCTTATATGTATCCATTTCATGTATTCATAACTATGTTTATACTTATACCTATTATCTTGTGATTGACAAATAAAATAAAATAAATAAATAAACAAACAACTATTTGTCTCAAAAGGTATAGGGGTTGGACTAGAAGACCTCCAAGGTCCCTTGTTATTGTTACTTATTGGTCCACTAGATACGGTCCAAATAACAGACGCCGGAAAGGTGGTAAGAAAGGAGGAATCCGAGTCAAGCCGGGGTGAAGAATAAGCCAGCCAAAATGCACGCCGAGGATTTACAGCGCATTGGTGCAGGCTCCCGATGCACCCGCTCAGCCTCCGGCCACAGCAAAGCAGCCCCAGCCGCTACTCTTCCCCCCTGGCCGTGCGGCCTCGTTCTCTTCCTCCCCACCTCCCCAGGACGAGCCCGCGTGACGCCGCGGGAGGCGAGGCCCTCCTGGGCGGCCGCCTCGCTCAAGCTCCGCCTCGCGCGCCTGGCCTCGCGCTCTCCCGGCACAGGGGAAGCAGTTGAAGCGGCGCCATGGCGGCGTCCGGGAGCTGCAGCGGGAGCGGCCGCCGGCCAGAGAGCGGCTCCGAGAGCAAAAGCCCGCAGCTTCAGCAGGCCGGCGGCCGGCGGCGGAGAGGCCCCGGCGCCTTAGCGACGGCCTATCTAGTCCTTTACAACGTGGTCATGACCGCCGGGTGAGTGAGCGCCGGCGCACTCTTGACGGGTGGGTGGGCTCGGCTTCGGGGCGCGGGAAGGAGGGCGTGTGCTGGGGGCCGCTTCTTCTCGGGGGAACCCGGCGGCCCTCTGCCTCCCCTGACATTTCTCCTTTCCCTCCCCTGGGCGTAATGGCCTTTGCTCCTTTGAACGTGCCTCTCCTTGCCTTTACCCCGGTAAAAATTTGGAGATGCACATAAGCAGGCGCCTCTCCTCTTGGGGATCCTTTACTGAGGAACCCAGCTTGGTGATTTAATAAGAAATATTTTTATTTCTAAGTCGGAAGTCATTGTATAATATGCGAGCGTTTCCTTCCCCAAAGAGCTTTCTTTATCATGCTTTTCATGTGGTAATAATGTTCTCGAGGCTTGACGTGTACACTTAGGAGGCGATTATGGAGGCTGAAGCGTTCAGCTTAGGCTCTGGGAAATGCTGTAGCCATCAAAACTTGCATCCGTGGCAAGCCTTAAGCAATTCTCTTTAGAAATATCAGGTTCAGCTCTTAGGGATGGAGACATCACAGGTAAAACACACCTTTGGTGGGTGGGGGTGGGGGAAAGTAGAGGGATTAGGATTTTACAGTAACAAAAGCTGGAAATAATTGTAAGTAGTGCCCTTGATTTTTTTAAAGCATTTGAAGTCTAAAATATAGTATTATGCTGATTAACATTGGGCATTTGGCATTTTCTAAAATTCTGGTAATGTTTTGGATTATCTGCAGAATAACTTTTGTTAGCTCCTTAAATTGATTGGGGCTATTTCATCATCACTTTCTGAAACTATCACCTGGATATTGTAAGATAGCTATGTGCCATGTTTGTTAAAATGCATTTGTTCTTTCTGTTTGCTTATAGAATTGCACTGTAGAAATAATTGTTAGATTCTAATCACAATAAAGCAATCATTTGAATCTGATATGTTTGGGGTACATTACAAATTTCTGTGTTACAACAGTACATACAACATTAAGGTTCCAGGATTGAGCATACATGTGGTAGGAACATACTCAGAATATATGAGGTGTGTATTGGTTGATTTGGGTGTCAGTTCTAAATGTCAGCAGGTTGTCTTTCAGTATAATCAGCATCATTTGCAACCATTTTTTGGATTGTATCACTTCTACTATCACCTTATCACTATCTAAAGAAAGAGAGAACAGCCAAGAGATCAGTGCTCAGTGATCACTGTCACTATAGAACTGCTTGTTGACTAAAGCAGGGCTCTTCAAACTTGACAGCTTTAAGACTTGTGGACTTCAACTCCCAGAATTCCTCCTCCAGTCATGTTAGCTCAGGAATTCTGGGAGTTGAAGACCACAAGTCTCAAACTTGCCAAGTTTGAAGACCCTTGAACTAAAGTATCATTTGCTTTGGATGTATTTGCACAGGGTGAGAAATAGGTGCTGTTTCTCTATGCTGATGCACCACAAATCCATGCATGTATCCACAAGGTAAAAAATTAAGTCACTAAGCTGCTCAGAGTTGCTTTGAACTGCAAGATGGGCAGCAAATAAATGTGAGCGTAATAAGTGGGATTTTTTGAAGAAGCAGAATGATAGTGAGAAAAGTTAATTATGAACAATGCTTCTCATAAGAATTTTTCCTTGCATCAATTATCTGATTATCTTTGCCTTATTTTCTGGGTAGGTGGATATATTTCCACACAAAATTTGATACTATAGTCACTCCCTTTTAAAAAAAAATATTTTGTAAAAATACCAATACAAGAATTGTAGTAAAGGTAAATCTACAAGCCAGTACTTTACTTTTTAGCGTGCCAATTTTCCATTCAGTTTATTTAAGTAAAAGGTAAAAAAAAGATAGGATACGAAACTTCATGGATTGTTTATAACTTTAGGTCAGAAGGTATTAAATGGGAAATGTCTGGAAGCATGTTAGTGAGCCTAACTCTACAAATATAGTCATTATCACAGCTTTCATGTGATACCACAATCTTGTAATTTCTGCAAGACCCCAAATGATGATCTGGAACTTCCAGAGAGTATGCAGTTCCATTCAGAACTGGATGAACCGCTCTAGCTAAAATGTATTTTCCCATCATCAGTTTCTGTCTTGTCTATATTAAGTTGCAGATCATTTTCATTCATTCCAAAACTGTCTCTAAATCTCTAGAGCTCTCTACTTTCCAGGGATTAGTAGATGTTTCTTAAAGATGTGTTTCAGTAACAATTTTGTGACACTTTAAATTGGGTAGAATAGATTTCTCTAGCAATGTTATCTCAAACATCAAATGAACACATTCTGCTTTTAGAAACAGAATCATAAGGCTGGAAGGGACCTTGGAAGTTTTCTGGCCAAGCCTCTGCTCAAGGCAGGAACCTTATGCCTTTAACCTTATCGTTTTAAAGAATTCAAGTTACAAAGTGCAGAAATCTAAAGCCAGCACAACACTGTGCCTCCTGAATTTCCCCTATGGGTGCTTAGCCATACATAATGATGAACGTGACTAAGTTGGTTCATTATGAGTTTGCTAAATAATTCACATAGTAATTTTAAATTAAGATAATTCCCAGTCTAGTTCCCATTGATGTTAAGCCTGCAAGTACTCACTTGTTTCCAGGTCCTACCAGATTTTTTTTTTACAAAAAGGCTGACATGCATAACACCAACACCAAACAATGCATGTCACCAACTTTCTAAGAAAATAAGTTTTTGAAGTGTATATAATTACTTGGCAAGTCTTATTAGATCTACTAGATCCCAGTAAAAAGTAGCTAGTAAAGTAGTCGTAGTAGAACACAATTTATTTGATGATGTGCACTTGTACTTTGTTTCCTTGGAGACATTTAATATTGAATTCTGCTCTTCATACAACATTGCATGACATTGTTAAACTTCATAGGAGAGCTCTGTGTTGGATAAATGAGTGAAGTGATCAAAACCTAATGGATTTAGACTCAGTTTTATTCCTAATCTTCAATTAATACAGGTGCTATTTGCTGCTATTTAAAATATTTAAAAGAAGCTCATTTTTAGCTTTGCAGTTGTAACTGTTGACTATAATTCACAGTTTTTTCAGCAATCAGACTGGTAAAATATATTTCTTTCTCGATGGAATATAATGCTGAATTACTTATTTTATTATATTACTCTCAAAATATTTCATAGTATCTGTTGCATGGATCCAGATTGTTGGGGGCAATATGCTGACCCTGTAAACCGCTTAGAGAGGGCTATAAAGCACTGTAAAGCGGTATATAAGCCTAAGTGCTGTTCCTATTGCTACTTCAAGAAAAACATCACCGTGTTTTTCTCTCTTTTTCTTCTAGGTGGCTTGTTATAGCAGTTGGTTTAGTCAGAGCATACCTTGCAACAGGTAGCTATCATAAACTCTATCATTCAATAGAAAAGCCTTTGAAATTCTTCCAGACTGGAGCTTTGCTTGAGGTAGGTTTATCACAGTCTTCAAACCCTAGGCCAGTGATGGCAAATCTGTGAAATGTATGTCAGAGATGACATGACATTTGGTGACATGCCAGGAGCCCTTTGGAAGTTGTGCAAAAAGGCCTTGTTCTTGTGCAACCCGAAACATCCAAAAATTGCACATTCAAAGGGTGTGGAAAGGCCTTTGAACTCACACAGCTCTGAGGTGTCCAAAAATTGTGCAATTTCCAGAGGGTCTAGAGAGGAAAGGACAGTTTGAAGAGGAGGTCCAGAGAGACCTTTTTTTTCTCGAGGATGCCAGTAGAGTCAAGATAGGCATTTTCTGATTTATTTTTTTTTGTCACACCAACCCAAAAAGATTTGCCATCACTTCCCTAGGCATTTCAACTTATTCCTTTGTTGTAATGTTTGATTAATTACTATCCCTTTTAAATGCATTATCTTTTTCCAAGGTTTATTCTGTCAAATGAAAAAAAATTGATAAAACATAAGCATAATAGGAAGCATAATGATATCAGGTGCAACAAAGAGACTGACATGATAAAATTATTACTTTCAAGTGAATGTGTTTTCCTTTGAAATTAAAGTTTAGACATTTGACATACTTGGTAAAAATGTCAAATTAGAGACTTTTCATGCTTTTTTTATCACAGTATAAAGAAGAAATATTCTATTGATAGAGAGTTCATCAGAGAAAATTAAATACTTTTTAAAGATGGTTCTGATATCTCAACAGTAGCCCAACCTGTCATTTACTTCTCTTCCCAATAATGCATACAAAGGAGGGATTGCTTTATTTCATGGAATAAGTTCTGATCTGACAATGATCATTGTCTCATGAACAAGGAAGAATGATGTTTGAGAACCCCAGAATCTCTTTTAAAAGAGATAAAAGTCAATCTTTTTCTAATAACATAGTTTTCTAAAAGGTGGCTTTTCAGCACAGCAGAATTGTAAATGGGGAAATTAGTCATTGGTGAGATTAAAATTTCACAAAATTATTATTGAACAGATAAGAGGTATATGTTATGATAAAAATGACTGGTGGAGATACTATTCAAGAACAATGTTCTTAGTCATAATCATGATGCTGTTGTGGTAAAGCAAAATGTGCTACAAATGTGGAAAGTCTTAATTATTTCTGACTTTTTTTTTTAGATCGTGCACTGTGCAGTAGGTAAGTTTTTAAATTAAATATTTAATATCTCTATTTTGGAAGGCAAGGAGGGAATTCTACTCATATTCTCTGCTCAGTTATTTAAAGGAATTGCAACTATATATAGCATGACATACATCCAGTTTCTCAACATTTGATTTTCTTTATTTTTGTTTTAAACATGCATTTGAATATGCAAATATAATCATTTTTTTCAAAAGTAAGAATTACATGTTCAGACTAACAGAAGTTATTTCAACATTTTATGTTTATTGCTTGTATTGAATATAGCTTTTGTTATGGTGTTAATTATTTAATAATAAAAATTGGTCTATTTCTGCTTCATACTGCTTATAGAACAACTGTTAGGTATAAACATTAAAGTTTGCCAAAATAAAATTCAGCATTTTGAAGCAATTTACGTATAAGTTGCAAATGTGATCCAATTTTCAGTTCTTCTAGCCTCATCACAGGAAAGTGACACACACAAACACACACACACACACATTTTTTTTAAATAGCTGACCTGGCTGCCAGAAAGCAAATGAGCATGCTATTTCAATTGTCAGGCTAGAAATAATCAAGCTTAGGTTTTATTGTAACTAGCTGGAAAAAGTCCTTTTGCAGGACCTCTGAGAAGAGATCACTGTCCTGGGACAAACAGACAAACAGGGTTGGAGACGAGTCAGAAGGGGAATCCAAAGGAGAAGGAAGAGTTAATAAGATCAGGATAGTCACAGGCAAGAGATGGGTTTTAATTAAGTTGTCCTCAGCATTGCCGAAAGAGAAGGATGGCCATTAATAAGTAATGGTGAACCTCTGCCTGGTCCACAGCTGAGACTCATAGGATAGTAGTCTGCTCTCCTCTTGCCCCCAGCCCCAATGCCTTTTGGCCAGTCTCAGATTTGTGCAGTTCTTGACTGGATCTTCATGAAGGACCTCTGCTTTAGGCCAAGGGCCTGAATACAATATCTGAGTCTGTTGCTATCAGAAAACAGTTGAGGGATCCTGTGAACTTGCAGAGTCTATCAGAACAAGTGGGCTTGCTGACTCCAGTACTCCTGGAATCTTTAGCAAAGGAATTGCTGCCATTGATGCATTTTCCCTATCCTGTATTGAAGATCCGTTCCTTAGCAGGGTCAATGGTTGTCGTTGTTGTTATTATTTATACAAAAACAAACTTTCTACATATATGCATCTAATAACTCAGTGACAAAATCTAAAGCAAAATTTGATTGTGAGAAATTAATTAGAAATAGTGCTTCATGTATGCACAAATGTTTACAAGTGAGAACTGATATCCCTTTACTAATATTAAACTGAATTAATTTATAGAAAGACATGAGTTTTACACATGAAAAATCTTTCATGTATTGCCTCTTCCAGAGTTATTAATTAGTTAATGCTATTCAGACATTTCAGTGGAAATGTTTGAATTTTAATTATTGTCCCTAAACAATCATTGGTGTCATGAAAATAAAAGTACTGGGAAAATATATATTTCCTTCAACATCTGTCATAGGCAGTTGAATATTCATTAGTCATATATTCAGATTTGACATTGTCCCTTTACTATCAGAGATAAGTGTTGTTTCATAAACAAGAGTTTGCTGTTCAGCAAAATAAGTCATTTGAAAATGCTATTGTTGTAATTGCCTTACTGGGTGTTTGTTTCCTTCTGTGCTTGGCACCAGCATCTAGGAATCTCATTCAAGTATGTTACATGGGACATAATATCTGTTGTTCTTTTAGCTCTGGCATCTGATAATCAGAAGGGAAACTAGTCATGTGTTTATCAAATTTATTACTTGAAAGTCATAGCAAACCTTGTGTTTTCATCTCCGATCCAACATTCAGACATGAGAGAAATTTTGAAACCAAGAAAAGAATATTTAACAATATTTTAATATTAAAACATTAAAATTAATTTTTATAACACTATCTCTTTCCAAATTAGATTACTATTAAAGGGTGGGTGGGTAGTTTAGGAGCTCAAAAATGTAGTAAATCTAAATTGTCTTTACAGGGATTGTTCCTTCTTCTGTTGTCTTGACTGCTTTCCAAATCATGTCAAGAGTTTTTTTGACATGGGGTATAGTCCACAGTGTAAAAGAGGTGAGTTGAGATTGAACTATTTTATTCATCCTTTATCATGAAGCTCCTATCTCTGTTCACTATGGACACCACTATATAATCTCTTTTGCTGATAATAGATGTGTATGTAGACATGTGGTAAACAAATAACCTTTTCAGTACTGTTAGTTTTAATGTCATATTTCAACACCGTGGACATGTAATTTAGAATGCTTTTTGGTAGACATTGTTTTGTTGCCATTTAATATATTTCAAGTGAGATTCTGTAGGCTTGAAGAAAACTAGGGGTCATAATCCAATTCACTGTTTGGAAAGGACAATCAACATTCCCATGAACAGTTTCATTTTTTACTTCATTGGTTTCATTTATTGCATTCAATTTTCCATAAACCAAACTTATCATTATTATTTATTCAGGTTGTATGGCCAGATATCTTTCTAAGTGACTTTGAGCAGCTCCCAATAAAAAAATCTATATAAAGAAAAAAAATATCTTTTTAAGTAACTGCTGGGGTGGTGCAGTAGCTCCATTCAGTTGCCCAGACTTCACCCCTCAAGGGATTATGAGGTTGTTAAAAGACAATGATGATGATGATGATGATGATTTCTAGCAAGTCTGCTAGAAGAATTGAGAGAGGATCTATTTTTCAAAACTAAGCAGCTTTGATGTAGATTCCATTGGAATACACAATTGTATTAATATAATTTAAACATATGATTAGAAATAATTCCAATATCTTAACTATAGCATAGTAAGAACTGGATTGTAGAACACAAACATCCAAAATTAAAATTGTAGCTGTAATAGAGTGTAATTTTATTGATTGATTACTTAAGTAGCCCAGGCTAGTTGAAAGGATGTATTGTTTTCTTTGAAAAAAAATAGTTGCTTGCATTGTTATGAAAGCATTCTACATTTCTTTTTTGAAAGGCTGTCTACATACCTGAGTTCTTTGAACAAGTTCAACTATTGAGAATGTTGTAAGATGCATGTGTTTCATCTCTTGCATAAATCTTTCATGTCTTTTTCAAGTCTTTTAGTGAGAGACTCTTTAATAATTTTGATCAGATTTCTCTTGAATATAATTTTCTCTCAAACCAGGATAAAGCTATCTTAATTTATTTACCAGTCTAATGAAGGAATTATTTGTTTTGGTATCAAATATATGATAGCAGATTGTTCTTCTAATCTTTTCTTGGATGCTTTCTGATGTTTATTGCATAATATTAATTGCATGAGTCCAGTGATGCTCGAGGAATGTGCTTGTTCTACTAAGATGATAACATTGTTAACTTGTTCTGTCTTTTCTCCCCCTCTTTTAAAAGTTGAATTGAAGAAAAAAAAACCTGCCAAATCTTAAATTTAAATCCTGCTTTCTTACTTTTCATTAGGGAAGACAAGTGATTCAAAGATAGGAGTGCCTTGTGTGATTTCCCTTTAAACCAGTATGGCAAGCAAATGTGAATTAAAGCCAAAACTTGATGTAATGCCAGATTGAAGACAATGTGCCAGCATTCAAGGGTATTGCAAACCAGGAGTTAATCAGGCTTGATTACATTTTGTTTTCTTAACGTGTCAGGCATTGCTTAACTTTAATATCTTTACATTATTCTCATAATCTTTAGTTGGTGGGGGAAAGCTTAGGGTCCAGTACTGTAAAGCTCTTATTCAGAACACTGATATGTCATTAGCTTTCTGCATATTATTTTGATGGACAATTTATGTTTCATGTGGCAGAATGAACCCAGCAGATCTTATGATTTTAAAAAAACTGAGTTTAGAGATTTCACCGATTTAATCTAGCTTAATCCGCATCTTGACAACTAACCTGCTTAGCAAAACAAAAAAAACCCCTTGGTATTGCTGAAAGACTCAAAAAGCAAGTGAATCTTCCTTTCAGATGTTATTGAGCAAAACTTCCAGTCATGGCTACCCATGTTGATAGTTTGCAATGCTAAGATTATTGTTTCTAATAATAACATGGACAATTGGTGAGATCTTTTTGTGGGAGTTGTTGAGCTGATGGTAGCAGAACAAGTTTGCAGCTCTCTTGATGAAGGAGATCACCTAAGCATTCTGGTTCAGTATTGAAGCAACCTTGTCCACTCTCTTAGAAGACCTTTATCAGGACTTGGATAATCTATCCCTCCTGATTTATTGGATCTAGCAGCAGCTTTTGATGCCATCAATCATGATACCTTATTGGACTGTCTGCAAATATTTGGGATAGGATGTGTTGTTTGTAATGGTTCTTTTTCTTCCTCAGTGGACAGTTCCAATCTGTGGTGGTGGGGGTGGAGAGGTTGGCTGAGTGGCCTTTGATGTGTAGATTCTCTAGAGGTCACTCCTCTGTCCCCTGCTATTTAACATCTATATGAAGCTGCTGGGAGAGAGAGAGATCATCTGATGGCTTGGAGTTTGGTATCAGTTGAGAAAGAGATACTGTTAATATTACCTACCAGTTCCTGCAGGCTGTGGGAATCTGGGATGAGAGAGAATAGACTGAAGTTGAATCCTGGTAAGTCAGAGTTGGTGTTGATACATTAAGGTTTTCTGTCACCATCAGAATTGTTCCTTGATGAGCGAGCACATCCTGTCAGGGAGGGAGCAAGTTCATGACTTGAGACCCTTCTGGACTCAGGGCTCTAACTAGTTGTACCATTTGTGACCCTACCTGTGGCAGGAGTGCCTAAATAGAGCCTATCATCACCATCTAGTTGGATTGGATGACTATAACGAACTCTTGGGCCTTAAAGACTACTTTAAGTTGGTCCCAAACAAGCAGGCTGTATACTTCCTCTCTTCCAATATCATCAGCAAATAGGAAGGTTTTGCCAATAGTTTTCCAGGTACAATTAAAGGTGCTAGTTTTATCCTATGAAGCTCTTTATTGGTATCCAATATCTATATGATCACCTACTCCAACCAGTACTGGCCCAACTGATCAGATAAAAAGAGAGAGATTGTTACTTATCACATATTTTTGAGAATGGGAGGGCTCTGCCTTTCTGTGACAGCACCAACTCTGTGGGACAGCTTCCCAGTAGAAATTAGGCTCTAACCCCCTCCCAGTTGACATTTTGGAAGCTACTAAAGACAGAATTGTTTTGGAGAGCCTTCCCCTGGTTTTATCACACAATTGGAAACTACTATTTTTATTATTTTCATTCTTATATTTGGTGGGTACTGTTTTATTGTTCTTACTGAGAAGTTTATGCGATGAAAGTTTTAACTGGTTTGTGTAAACCACCAAGTTTTTTTTAATCAAGGCAGAATAGAAATAAGTAAAATAAATATGTTTAAATTTTGATAGATTTATTGTTTTTTTTTATTTGTGCAACAGTAAAAAATGAATTCCTTACTGAGGACTATTTTTAAAAGAAAGAATATTTATGTACCTTGGACATTGGAGAGAAAATTAAACCAGCTATTGGTTGTGGATGGAGGGATAGCTGTGTTTCATTTTAAGCTATGAATTATTTGCTGTTGTAACAGCATTGATTATTTATAATAGCTCCGATACTCTATTAGTTTTGAATGATGCTAAAAATGGTTTTCCAGTCATTAGCTGATTGTGAGTAGCCATTGTTTAGTTCATTACTCTTGTCATTGGAAGAGAGGAATGTAAAACAGTGTTCATCATATGCCCAGTAGATGGCAGTAGGTGACATAAGATGTACTCTAACAAAATATTTATAATGAAAGACTAATATGATATGAAATGTACTGTTTGCAGTCTTGTACAAAGTTTTTTTCTTTTTTTAAAAAAGTAATAGCACAGAGGAAAGTTTTCAGTGCAAATAAAAGCTTTTTCAGTAATTACTAGTAACGTGAGGGATATCAGTCTCTTCTCTCTGCACAGCCCAGTTAATGCAATGATACTACAATTAATGTATTTAATACTGCAAGAAATTAGAACCTGTAATTTGTTAATTTACATATTGTTTCTGAAAATGCAGGTGTCTCCTTAAAGTGAAGTTTCTTTTTGTATTGTTAATAGTAATGTCATTGATATAAAGCATTGATTACTTTAGGCAGAGTATTCTTTTGACCATCACAAAGATAGAATCATTTACTTCTTTTCTAGCACAGAAACCAATCATAAAGCATTGTTCTTTATTCAAACATTATCACATGGTTACTTGGATGATGTTGTTTGAGCTATTCTTTTATAGAAAGAACTGTCCCATCTATCTCATCTTCTCTGCCTTGGTAAAGTCCATATTGTTTTGTCTGCATCAGCCAAGTTTTACCTTAGAGCACTCCTCATCAATCCAATTTTATTGGTACCAAGTGATATGGTTCCTCCCTCAATTCTTTCCCCCATTCCTCTTATTCTGTACTATCAGAATGCTTTGGTGAGATAACCATCTGTAAAATCCGCTCCCCAAATATCTTCGGCATTGAATCTATTTCAGAGGGAGAACTATCCAAATTCCTAGAATAAGCATGTTTCTGTTGGAGAGTCAGTGAGGGAACCTTGAGAGAAATAGACAACAATTACATAAACAGAGAGGGCTAAAAGATCCCTGGGAAACAAGATCATATGAGAAGATACACAGGCAGGCTTCTGAAGTAAAACATAATCAGGTCTACAAAATTTATGCCAACCCTACATGGTTGATCAGGAAACAGACTCCTCAGGAAGACTAGAATGATACTTTATTGAGACATAATAAATTTGCAAGCTTGATTGTACTTTGTTTTCTCTCCATGTTGGAGTGACATATAGTACCAGTGAGCCTTGTTCCTTCTGATCATACAAGTGTAATTTTGATTTTTTTTAATATGGACTAAATGACCAATTGTTTCCTTTTTGCATAAAGGAGTGTCAGGATTTCATCTACATGAATAACTGATTTTTTTCATAGATCTACAGCTCTCCTTCAATAATATTTTAATGCCCTTGACACTAGGAAGTCTGTTGCATTTTGCTTCAGCAGAAACATATCCTTTCTAAAAGAATCCCACATTTGTTCATTTCCTATGTTAGCACAAAGCAAGGTACTTCAGTTTCATTTCAGTGTTTTTAAAGAAGAGTGATGGCAGCTCTTAATCCTTTCTTTGATCTCCATTAAGTGACTATGAAAGTTCAAGGCCACTTACAGCAGCGCTTAAAAGTTTAAGAACCTATTTGAATTTTCAATATTCATGTTTTATAGGTCATATTTATGTAGAAATATTGAACATTCAAACAGTTCAAGAACCTTCACTTATATAACATAGGTTTGGGTCATTTTAACAGCTTTTTTTGGGGGAGGGGGTACTGTTTTATCCAAGATCTGTCAGTCTACTAGTTTCAGCCTGCCTAATTAATTTGGCAGTATTAGTTGAGCCTTCATTTCAACAAGGTAGGATTGCAAGGCTCACATTTTTAAAGTTATTATTTTAGCTGTCCCCTTCTTTCTGATAGATTAGCTGGCTGATTCCCCATATGTATGTCACAGACACCACAACGCAGAATAGGGATGAGAATTAGGGATAAGGTTAAGGTTACCGTCCTCTCTTCCTTCCCTGCAGGAGAGTTTCAGTATAGGTAGTCAACCTGCACAACTACAATTGGGACCAGAATTTCAATTGCTAAGCAAGGCAGTTGTTAAGTGAGTCATGCCTCATTTTGCAACCTTTTTTTTAGAAACATAGAAAACTGATGGCAGAAAAAGACCTAGCAGGCTATCAAGTCTTCCCTTTGAATTTTTTGTTTCCTTTTTAATTAATCATTATTTTAAATGTTTTATTTATTTTTAATTTTTGCCATATGTTTATCATAAGCATGTTTAAACTCAGTTACTAGTGACTGACCCAACTACCTCTGCTGGAAGTTGGTTCCAAGCTTCCACCACTCTTTCTACGAAGTAATGCTTTCTGATATTTGAACTTCCCTCCTGTCTGAGATTCTGGCCCCGTGTTCTTCATTTTGCCATGATTTGTTAAGCGAATCACTACAGTTAAGTGAATCGTGTATTTGTGAAGTGAATTGGCTTCCTCCATTAATTTTGCTTGTCAAGAGCTGGCTTGGAAAGTTGCAAATGGCCATCATATGACTGTGAAATGCTGCAACCGTTGTATAGACATGCCAGTTGGCCAAGTCCCTGAATTTTGATCTCATAACTGTGGGGATGCTGCAATGGTCAGCAGTGTGAGTATCAATTTTAAGTCCCCTTTTTCAGGGCCAAACAGTCACTAAATGAATAGTGGTCGATTGAGGACTACCTATATGCAGTATATTTCGGTATGCAGTGGCAGTCCTCAGAGAGATTGAGAGAAATGGCAGCAGTTCTACCTTTACTTAAATATTGAGGGACAGAATCCAGTTATTTTCCTGATTTTCTAGTCTGTAGAACATTCTGGATAGGTTATTAACCAGACACAGATACAATTTATTGTATGTAAAGTCAGAGATAATAATTTACAAAAATCAAAGTTACAAATAAACAACCAGTTCTTTCTTTTCTTTCTCTCTCTTTTTTCTTTCTCTCTCTCTCCTTCCTTCCTTCCTTCCTTCCTTCCTTCCTTCCTTCCTTCCTTCC